GCAAGGAGGATCGGGACCCTCATCAAGTTCTCGACTGACATCGCGCGTTCACCTGGATGGGGGAGGGCTGCCAAATGAGCTGTTGGGAAAGACGAGACCTGCTCCTTTTGTTTTTCTTTCCCTCGAGCAAGCAGATTCGGATCTGATTCGACGGGAACACTTTTCCGCTAATTGCGCGGCGAATAATTCAGCAAGTCATGCTGCATTGAGTCCGTTTCAAAGCGATGCGGAGGTGGTGCTCGTGGTCGTGACGGAAGCAAAAACAGACTTCAGACGGCGGCGGGCCACTATCGGAAAGCCATGAACAAATTATCCCTTTGCTCCGCTTGAATGAGAGCAGAGGGAGCTCAGCGCTGTCTCCCGACAGAGGATGGGAGCGAGGAAGAAACATTGCTCTTAATCTAAGTAACTAGCAAGCGAGCAGGCTGGCTAGCTAGCTTTGTTCCTGGGTATCTGTCTATTGAACGGTCCAAAAGTCGCGGCGGAGATTTCCGATTCTTGACCCGGCTACAAAGCAGGGCTCACTGGCTCCGAAGCCATCGACTGGATCGAATTATCGACTCTCGTCCCCGTAGCGTGAGGAAGGAGCTCGGTTTGAGGAAAAATCCCCATGGAAGCAGCTCTAGATTGGTCGGCACGTGAATTCTCGAACAAACGAGATAATCGACTGCTCGGCGCTCTCTGTTTTCTGTCTGCCGAGCGTATTACATTATACAATCCACCGCATGGAAATCGCTCTCATACGGAAATTTTATCACGTGAAGCAATGCTGCGTGAGTGGGAGGCTTGGCTGATGTATTCATCAGGAATGCCGCTTCATTGAGGACTCCGCACCGTTCTTGGTCCAGGGACGGAAAATTCGAATTCTTTATCCGGGAAGGGTAGCGATTCCTCTCCGCTGATCCCCACTGCGCCAGAAGTCTGAGCCTTCGCCAACTTGGAATTGGGGCCTTGTACAGAGGGAACCGTAGGTGAAGATATGAGTGCGTGGAGGAAGGCTGACCCGAGGAACAAACGCACAGGGGTCCAAATAACACCCTGTCCAGATGTCAAGTCGGGAACGGGACGCGCTGATGACGTATATGCTTATCGTCGAGGGGGAGGGGGGGGAACTTGGTGACCTCTCGATCGATTCGATCGCGTATGGGTATACGTCGTCGTCAGTACAATGAGCTATCTTCTGCAGACAGAGAAAGCTCAGACCTCCGGATGGGGAGGCAGACTTGGACGATGGAATTCTCTGTACGACAGGACCCCCGTCTCTCGGCATTTTTCGCTGTCTGGCACTCTTTTGGTTGTCCTTGTCGTCCTGAACGACAATTTATGGACGGTTTGACTGTTTCGGGAAATTATCATCTCGAAAGCGAACAAACGCTCATGATGATCGCGGGTGGCGCTGTCGTTCGAGGCCCATGACAAGCAAACGAGCCTGCGTGAAGAGCGATTTCAGGGTGCGTACTAGTGGAGCTTCGTTTCGAAGGCCTCGCCGGAAGACGAACACAGCAATGTGCTCCTTCGATCGGCTAGGACATAAATTGCAGCCGTATCCCCTCGCATTCATCGCCTGCTGTCTGCCGTGAATCGTTCCGTCGAAGAAGCCGTCCGGTTCGGCAGCGGATCCCTCACTCCAAGGGGAACTCTCTCAGGGGAGGGGGTCGAGCAGAAGGGGTACAAAAGCATCAATCCCTTCCCCGGATGTGAATCCAAAATCCGATCCCTCTTTTCTCATTCCATTCTCCTCCAGCGAGAACATGGGAGCAGGATATTCCCCTCGGCTGCCAGGAAGAACGAGTCGGGTCTAGGATTCGAGCGCCACGAGCTGTTCCGAGGAGCGCCCGCACATCTCGTGAATAGGAAGCCGACGGAAGATAACGTCGAAGGTAGTAATTGGACTCTCACGGGAGGGGCATGGCCTCCTTCGTCCGGTTGTGTACTTTTACTCGTAGGCACTTGCCAACCCGCAAGGCGAAACGACATGTGCGTAGTTGTATTGGAGCTCCTTCTGCGTGGCATCTCTAGCTCCGCCACGAGGGGCGCCCGCGATCTGACCGCAGTATCCGAGCAACAGCAGCGTCGGGCGTTGCTTGGATTCTATCGAACGGACTAGCCGGTTGCAACCCGAGTCCACCTTTATCGAAACGAATAGTTTCGAGACGGGCGAATGCATCATCGGCGATTATGCCGCAAGTGCCTCCGCGGAGACAGCCCTCGGGAGCGGAATACTTGCGAGTACGCCGTCACACGAGCTCTGCGCATCTGCGCGATCGACGAGCGTTCTGAAGTAATGCAATCCACTCTCGGTCGGTGAATGGAGGCGGCCGAACGTTTTTGCCTCAGTACGTCCGGGTCGGGAGGAGCTGACGGGTTTCGCACACGTGTCTTGTTCCGGCGAACGAAGCAGATGCGGCGGCCTATGCTCGCTCCGATCGAGAGCGGATTGCGTGATGCTTAGAAGCATCTCTCAATCTGCCCGGACTGATACGCGTTATCTGTGCGCCTCGTCGTAAGAAATCAGTGAAGTAATCGACGGAAGAGCCCTCCGACAACGCACCCATGGATGTTTTCGTAATTCCGCAGGCGACTCAGCAAAGACAGCGGAACTCTGGCCCGGAGTCGTCATGAGCACATGCGGGCAGCCGAGCGCTCGACCAATGCGAGCATCGATGTTCGAAAGCCGTCCGGAGACCCGGCAGAGCTCGGCTTACACTTTAGAGCGCAAAGCATCCGAATATTGCATCGGTCGTCGTCCGTGAGGAGCATCTAATCATTGGCTTCGAAAAGTCAGACAACTGGCCGGCCAGCTGGCCATTGAGGCGAACCCTTGTACCACGTAATATAGGCGTGGATTTCGAGATTTCCACGTCTCGCCGCTTGGCTTCAAGCGGACGCCGAGAATGCTCGAGATGGCGGTTTTCTTGACCGGGCGGCGAGGCCATATAATTAAGAAGCGATTATACTCCAAGGCCACTGAATCGGAGCCGATGCTCCCCCTGCGTTCGAAAGTTGCGTGATATGCGGCCGAGGCCTTTCGGACGAGATGAGCTCCGGAAATCCGAACACGGAAATTCATCACTCGAGTCCAATCTTTGCTCCCGAAACGAGCACAACGAGTACGACGAATGCGATATCTCTTCGAGCGTGTTGTCGTGTTTCGCAAATTCCCGGAGAGACGACGATATCCCTCTCTGTCCCACGCACAAAGTTCCCGAACTAAAAGGACTGGAATGACATAAAGCACTCGCGAGCGGTGGCGGGTCCGAGAGATCTGAAGAGCTCTGGAGCTGTCGCATGTTTCTGACGGGAAACTCTTCGGTGTCGTCGCAAGATCTCAAGTTCAACAGGGATCCGGCCGCCCTCGATCACAGAAGTACCTGCCTACCTATCCACCCAGGCGTCTTGAGCTCCTCGGAGATTACCGCCTTTGAGCTCGTCGCGTAAACATCGGGTGAGCAACAACGGTGGTTTCGAGTTCCGATGACCTACATATATGGATTCGAAGGAATCGATTTTCCCTGCACTCTTGTTCTCGCCTCATATCCCGGCACGTTCGAGCGCATTTCCAATCAAACGGAGATGTTTGAGGATGGGCCTGCATCGATGGTTGGGCTTGCGGAACAGAATCTCGCCCGGCGGATGCCTGTCCGCCGGTCGTTCTGTATTGAGTACGGGTTTCCGCGGGCCTGCTGTAGGCCATACACGTTGTGAGCGATGGACAATGCAGGTGGGTAAGAAGCAGCGAAAACGAAATTCACTTCTTCGACGGACGATGCAATGCCTTCTCCGAACGACGTGTGGCCGGCTCAACGCGCGTTTAGAGAATGGAATGGAAATGAGCCCCTCCGGGAACCTGCCATCTAGCTCTACTCGCTATACTAGTCGACCGGCTCCCCGACCTAGTAGCCAGTCAGTCATTCAGCTCGTTACCTTGGTACCTCTCGGACGGGCTGATCGAGAAGAAAGAAGTAAAGCGAGCGAAGACGTTCCATGGAATGGATCGAATCTCCCGAAAGTCCGTCTTCGGCTTCCTTCGATAAATTCAGTTTCCTATCTGTGTAGCTCGTGCAATTTCCTCTGCTGGCTTCCCTCTTCCGCACGTGAGAACATCGATGTAGGTGGTACTTCTAGCCGCTCTCGCCAAGATGCGGATTCGATTTCTCGATCGCCTTCCAATCAGAGCTCCGCGGGAAGCAAGCAAGGCCGATCGAGATGTCCGCGGATCAATTATTTCGCTTTTCGACCGGGTCTCGGGACGACATGCCCGCCAGTCGTGACGACCAAGTCGTGATATCGCGTCAGATATGCGGCGAGGCCTTAACCTAATGATGCGTGTCAAGGTAAAGCGGAAATGGAAAATCGGATCGAGGAGTTGAACTCTAATCCAGGCAAGTCTGCATTCGCGTGCGTGATCGATCCGCTTCCAGGATTGACAGTCAGCAGCTGGAATCGGCGGATATCTCAATCTCTTCATTCTCGACGACGAACTATTGCATGAGCTGCTTATTAATGATGCTCCAGATTATTCACGAACGCAGTGTTCTACGATTGCTCAAATATGCGCTGATGTCGCAACCCATTTTCTCTTGCGGCGAATGCAAAAACGGAATCGTCTCGTCTCTCGACGCAAAGATCCCTCTGATGATTATTTAGACGTGATGTATTGAGATCCCACATGGGACTATGTACGATACGACGTGCGAACACGATCTCTTCGATCGGTGTCGTAAGACACGATACTCGTGATATAGAGAATCCATAGTGGTAACCGGAAAGTGGTATTGTAGCACAGCTATTGAGAGACCTATAAAATCGAATGGCCATTATTGTGTTCGGATGTTCATCAAAGTATTAGAGCCCCGACGACCGATATACGGACGGACGGACGGTCGCTCGCTCGCATCGCCCCAGCGACGAGCAGCTGGCACGGATATTAGAGGCGGAGGAATGATTCTATCGAATGAGGCGTGCCATTAGGTCGGCGCCGATGGCCAGGGTTGACTCACCTTTGATAAAGTCGACAGCCTGTTCTAAGCCGTACGTATCGGAGTCACAGTCGTCGAGTATATAGTATCCAAAGCTAACGTTCGAAGGCATCCACTCCTGACGATTTACATAGTCAATGGTGAAGAGCATGCATTCAAGAGCCTGAATTCCTCCTTGTGGCATGATGGGCCCGCACGTCCAGTTGGCATGCCGCTCATGGACCATCATCAAAGCACCCAACATGACCTCACCCTTCTTGTGAGCCACTCTCTTAACAGGCCAACTGAAGTTGAGCCCGGTATTGTGTGTTGAATACGTGTCGTGGACGCCATTGACGTGATTAGGGGCTTGGTGGTAGTTGTTGTTGGTCTTAGAATCGCTACTGTCCCGTTTACTTTGTTTGTTGTTGCGGCGGCTGCCTTCGTCGTCGTTGTCGTTGCCGCTGCTGCTGCTGCCATGGTCGTCGAGCCGGGGGCTTGACCGAGGGGACGATATCGAAAACGATAAGTCGCCCGATTCGAGGCGGTGGTTAGGAAGCCTCGCCGGCCGGCTCGCTTTGTGGAAGCGCGACTCGGGCGGGAAATCGTCGAAGCCGTAGAGGGAGGCTTCGTCGAAGCCGAGGTGGCGGTGGTGATGATGCGACGTGTCGGCCTCTGTCACCAGGACCACCACCAACAGCAGGCCCGGCAACAAAAGCGCCGCCGGCACAGAATTCAAGTACGGGCAACGCGCCATGCAATTGTGAGAACTGCGGCGCGTTCATTTCAGATTTTGCTCAAATTCCGACCGATTGCTGATCGCCTCGACAAACAGTCTGACGACCGTTCCCGCGGGTATCCACTCAAAATTCCAACTCATGCTCCCCCACGGTCCGCTGTCGGTCGCTGCGTTGCGGCAACGGACGCGACGTCGACGACGACCGAAATAACAAGCACGCCTCTCGTTGCGGAAGATTCCGTTCTCCGAGCCACCTAAACAAACGTCGTCGTATGGACAGGGCAAAGGCCAAGCAATGCTGCGATCGAACGGTCCTTCGATCAGTCGATGGATTGCTCGCAGAAGTGCTGAAACCGTATCAGTCCACCATGGCCGGACGTAGTTCGCTCTCCCGCTCGCTGAACACCAATCCGTATGGGCACTACTTCGAAGGTCCACCACTCGAATGCAATAAGTCGCACACCACGAGAAGATTTTTGTGAAACCGATCTTGCCACCAGTTCTCCTCACTCAACATCTCGCTCTGGAGCTCCATCGGTGCAGATCGACGACGTCGACGATGGACCCATAGAAGCCATCGACGCTGTATTCCGACTCTGTTGACCAGGACCGATGGGTGGAACTTGCTGAGCTGAGTACGCCGGGTCCGTCTCGCCGCTGGCTCGTATCGGAGCTTCGCTCGAAACCGCGACCCCGGAGAAATCACAGCGGAGCTACGGAGCACTTGAACGATTTAAGAACAACTTGGCCGATCAACGATCACGCCGCAGAAGCCACTTGTTGAGAGCGAACGAAACTTCGGAACAGTCGGAGGACTCCGCTTTCGGAGTACGTCACCATTTCGGGGTTCGGCATGACTTCACGGAGTCGTCTGCCCACCTACCAAAGAGCGAAACCGCGCTTGCCCTCCGGTCGGGCCGACTGGCGTGTTGGCGAACAGACTCGCGTTTTTTTTCTTCTCCAGGTTGCGAAGTATCGACTGATATAGCGGCAGAGTGGATGAAGGACGTTCCCCCTCGTCGAGGCCACTGAACACGTCTGCGGGGAATTCGCGCCGAGGGGCTCCGTGGGAAAGGGACATGCGGGAGGAGTGCCGAGTGGAAAGAGTCCAGGATGACCTCGAGGAGGAGGAACACCGATTCGCAAAACGACTACGGCAATCCCGAAAGCATGACCGAGACACCAGAATCCGGCATTCGCTCGGACTTCCCGTTTCCTCCTCTCTATCTTCTAGTCTCCGAGAAAGAATCATAAGGTGCCGGCTCGTGTCTTGCCGAACGCTGAAGCCACGAAATGTTTCATCCCGGAAGCCGGAACGACGGCGGATCGGGGTCGGGAGCTCAGCGCTCGATCCGGTACTCGTGTGTACGCTTCCCTTATTTCCTACTCATCCGGAGTACGGGACAGTTGTTACGCATCGAAATATCCTCGCCCATCCCGGCCGACTCGGCGATGGAGCAAGACGGCGTTACGGAACACGTCATGTCTAAAAAACTTCGGAGAGGTCGGAAGCTCCACATGGAGCTGGTTACGGCGCGGTTTCGGAATTCTGAATAGACTCCGGAGTGTGAACTCTGAATAGACGCTTTATTGAAAACGTCATTGATGGTCCACATCACGGAAAACAATGGACAGCATCGAATTCGAGTCGGGGGACTGTGAGGAAGGCATAATTGAACTGCGTCAGACTGATTCGGATGGACAGAGAAATGACTCAGCACCAAAAGAACTCGCGAACAGTCGAGCCGAATTTCCGTGTTGAATTCGCAGTCGGCGTCCGTCCCGCTCATTCGGCCATGAGCGGTCGTCAATAGACTGGTTGGTATCAGGAGACGCACGGACACAGCTCGTTCTAGCGATTGGAGGCTCAAGTTTGGAAACCCCTGGTAATGACGAGGCGATCCGGAGCGGCCGTCATCCGAACGCACGAGCTCTAACTCGTCTCTGCCTTCAGCCGGCGGGAATACTGACTGACTGAGTTCGGACGGGAAGAGCAGATGGGACTGTGAGACGAGATGGTCAGCTTCTGAGTCGACGAGCGAACGGGACGAGCGGACAACGAGACGAAACAACGCGCGAATCCCACTCCATTATGTGTCTGAGCTCCACTTTGTCTTAATTAGACCAACTCGCACGACTGAATTATTCGCCCACTGCGGACGTCTCCGTTCGCCCCGAGACGAGGCTGACGCGAAAAGTTTAGCGTCCCCGTTCGGGCGACGCGAATGTTCACGTCCATTTTTTCCTCGTTCGCCATGCGAGAGGTTCCTGCGTCAGGTTCGGCTCTTTATTCCATGATTAATTCTTCCGTCCGATGGCGTGAGCGCTCCCCGGGAAGAGACCTCCGGCGTCGCCGAGGCCGTCGAGATACTGCTACTTAACTCGAGGCCGTAGTCGCCATGGGTCGTAGGTCGTAGTTGCTGTGAGAAGCCTCGGGCTCAAAACGTGTCATGAGTTCGAAGGTCAATGGAGCGTAACGCGGCTCGGTTTACGATAGTGTTAGCTTCAAGGAACGAAGTCGACAGTGATCGTCTATCGGAGCGGCATCGGTGAAACGGATCGGGATTCTGGACTTTTCCACATTGCGTCACTATCAAACCGATCGTCGAGATGAGCGCTGATTCTGATCAGCGGACCACAAAGTGACCATCTATTTAGATATCTTCCTGGGAGCCCTCGAGAGCAGTGATCTTGAGTCCGCAGAGGGGCTCTCAGGGACCTTGCGGTCAGCAGAGGCTTCTTCGGGGTCCGACCGGCAGTGGAAACTGTCCCCTACATTCTGGACCCGAACTTCGTACATGATTGCAACCCCGCCGCTTGAAATTCACGCTGAGGTAATTCCGCGTGTTTTGGTGAGCTCCGCTTGTCTGATCGGTCGAGTTTGTTCACCGGTCGACGAACAACTCTACAAGCGCTCCGCAGAGTCCTCGCGCGGGAACTTGTCGGCATGAGTCGCCCTGAGAAAAATGTGCGTGCTCCGCTGCAGAAAAGCTACTACGGACGCAAACTCCGCTCCGCGACGCTCCGGGTCTAGTCCTACACTGTCGATGATGGAGGGCAGACCGAGCGTCTCCCTGAGTCTGAGATATGGCAGCTGGCTGTCGATTCCGTTCCCGCCGTCGAAACCACCAAGAAAGGTTTCCGATTCTTCGACGGGAGGACCGTTTTGTTCGGCGACCGTTGATAGTCTGCCAGCGGTATATAAGATTCTTCAATGTAATTTCGTATAAATTCTCTGGCTTGATTCCTCAATGTCACACCTTCCAAATACTTCGAGGAGCTGCTTGAGATAAAAATCCTGGCGGATTTTCCTCCAGACCGGAACCTCGTGAGAATTGGCTTCTGCTTGGATAAACGATAGGTGCGGCAAAAGCATCAGGCGGTGGAACTTTTCATGATCTTTCTTAGTCCCAGAAAGCTCAGAAAAGAGCCGGAGAGAACTTCTGGAACAGGATCCGGAACGGATAGCATTCTCGTTTTGCAGGAGTCAGATCAAAGTGACTTGACCTGTGCAGAAAAATGTGTGATCTGTCGGGGGTCGGGATCAAAGTCTTCAGCCGGAGCCGGGAGATAGAATCGATCTATGGGGAAGAACAAATGTGGACGGAAGCCGAATGCCGATACCCATAAAGTCTTGCGAGGGGGATTCTCGGATGAAAGCGGGCCGAATTCCGGGATTGATGGTCTGCTGGTTTCCTCCGAAACGAAAGCCTCCCCCGCTTTGAAAAATCGATGCCTCAAAAAGTTCAAAGTCAGAATGGAAAGAAGGCTGCGTTCTGCTGGCCGCGGCGGCCGCCCTGTCGCTCTGGCGGTAACACCAGAGGCGGCTGAGAGCAACGGCAACCTCAACAACGGGGGCAGCAAATGGCCAATAAAATGAAATCAGATGGCGAAGTGCCTGCAATGGGAGATTAGGGAGCCGTAAAGCGAAGAGAAATCGGCCATTAGAGTGGCCTGGGTAGCTGAAGCGGCCGCGGTGGCATACCACCAACAGTTTCTTTCCCATTCAGGATTTCTAGGAGGTCCCGGAGCCAGCGACCTCTCCCCGGACTGAGCGAGGGAACACAGAGATAAACACGCGAGCGAATAGGAGAGCAAATGAAAAAGTTTCACGCCGCCGTCTGCTCGCTGGGATGGCCCCCCGAGCCGATGACTTGTGGACATCGGTGGCGGACACCAGAAGGAAGCTGCGAGCGTTCAACTCCTCGAGAAGCTGTGCGCTCGTGTGCTCCTCCGATTAAGCCGGAAAGCTATTTTGGCAATTGCGAGCTGAGGCTCCGAGATTTTTCGGTAGAACGATATCACCCCCTCACTTCGAATGTAGTCAGAGAAGATGTAGAAAGCGTATTTCTACGCTTCTATTCTCTACGCAGAGTTTCCCAACCTGATCCCCGCTCATGATTCGACTTCATCAGCATTTCAGCTGAGACTTCTGAAGCGGTAGTTGGAACCAATTTCGTCTCTGATTCACTTTTCCCTCGAAGGATGAAAATTTCATGGAGCACAGCTGGAGGCGGACGGACAGGTATGGCTCCCTTGCGTGGGGCTCTCGCTCTGACAATGGTAGGAGAATCAGGGAGTTCAGGGAATCGTCTACCTAGAAAAAATAAAGTCCTGAAGAGGTAGTGCTCAAGCACTACCGTTGGTGGGGCGTGAAAACGTCCCGGTTACGCAACAAACTCTTGGAAATCTGCGGAATAATTGTGTTGCCCATGAAGAAATAAACTCGCGGTGATCTAATGTGATTTATGCGGATTCTGTGATTTTTGAAGCCTTTCTGCTTCGGCATCGCCTGCCGCTTCACGGATGATTGTGTTTGTGGTTGTGGACAGTTGTCTTGTGCCGTTGTAATCTCGCACTTGGAGGTTCTGTAGAATGACTGCATCACCTTCTTTTCCATCTAATTTGCCGACAAACTCCGACCAGAGGCCAAGATTCACCATTTTCATACTGTCGTCGAGTACAGTAACCGTTTGTTTTTCGCGGTTGATACCATCTCGACTGTTGAAAGTTTGTGG